CTTACAAACCCCCCCCCCCCCCCCCCCCATCCCAGCATATAGCTGGTAGGCCTACTGCCTTAGTCTCTTTTAAAGAACTATTTAGCCGTCTGATCATTGTTTTTAAAAAAATCCAATTTAAAATTAATTAGCCTGATAATGGTAAAATAATGCAAGTTTGATGGGTTTGAATAAATACTTATTAAAATAATTTTTATACTCATCAGCGACCAAAAGGCACAAGACAGTTTATTAAAATACCTTTAAAAAAAGTAGCAAAGCATTATCTGCACGAGTTTAAACCAAGACGTCATGTGACAAGTACTTTTGTTAAAGAGCCTTTGGAGCCACTTAAGTCAACATAAGCAAGCTCAGCATCTCTACTATATTTCATGGGCACATTTGGGACAAAAAAGCCAAAATATGTAGTTAGTCGGCTAACGTATTTTTTAAACTTTATTTTGTATGAAAGAGACAAAATGTCAGGGTTATCAATGAAATCGATGTACTTCCATCTTGGGAGTTCAACCCCCGTAAACCTCTTTAACTCGGTGTGGGATGCAGGCAGTTAGTATGTCATACTAGTAGATCATTGCATATAGATGGCAGTTCAATTATTGGACATGCAGTGCATGTCTGCTTTTAAATCTCTGTTTGAAAGGTCAAGGATTTTATCCAGCAGATTTTGATCCTATTTCCCCCCATGACCACCTCTATTTCCAAATGTTAAGTCAAATAAGACTACTTGGGGATTGGCCTACATGTGCCTTGAGTTTCAGAGTTTGCTGGAAACTCACTTGTCTTCTGTCAACACATCTCTTCCATTTGGTGGTAATAACAGAGGTACGCTAATTAGTGAGCTCTGAAACTAAAGGGTGTGTGTGTGGCTGCATTCACAACAGATGAACTGCGGACTTACTAGTCCGAGGATCAAATGTGGTTGACCCCACTTGAAAGCAATGCCACTTAATTCCCTAATGGTCTCCCTGCCTACCACACGCACCTTCTCTGCAGGGGTCTAGCAATTAAACCTCAGAGCCAAGATTTAAATCCGTTTAATTATTAGGCGCCTACAGGTAAGTCTGTGGATCATCTGTTCAGAATGCAGCCTATGTGACTTAAATGTAAAATTTCAATGACTGATTAGAAGTCGATACCCTTGGCACCTTTAAATGATTTGTTATGCATGCTGAAGATGGTGGATTGTTGATTGAGCTGTTGTGTACCTTGAAGGCAAGTTTGCATCCAGGATTTCTTAAAGGAGGTAAATTAAAATGTTGTAAATGGGAATTGACCTTTTCCTATTAAATATTAACATATTTTTTAAAATTAAAATGCCACAGAACCAAGGGGCAGAGAGGTCTGCGGCAGAGGACAGTTTTCATTAAGATAGATAATCTTTTACTTTCTAGACTATTATGCCAAGGCTTGTTAATCTGTTTATCTGATTGCATTCAGCAAGAGTTCCTTTGGCATAAGATTGATCTACTTAGAACAATAGTTTCATTGGGAATAAGCTCTAAAAGTCGATAAAAGTTATTAAACTTGCAACTGTATATCAGAGGCAGATAAAGCATGTGTGCATGCAAGCACATCCATCGTACCTGTACCTCTCGATATCCCAGGCCATGATCAATCAATAGATGTAAAACTATAGTTATGAATATTCTATACTTGAAGTTGTAGATTTGCCAGTATTATTTAAGCTCAAAGCTCAAATAAATACTAGGATTGATTCAGTTGATCTCAGCTTATATAAATGGTGGATACACAGTTTTATTCTGTTCATAAGAACCACAGGCCCACTCACAGTTTTTTCAGGGCAGTACAGAGAAATTCAATTTATTGAGTGAAATTAGATTAAAGTGTTATATGAGTACTCATCAAGAGTTTGGGATGGTATACGTGTACATAATGTACCATTCATTTGCTTCATGGTATGTTATATTTAGCAAGTAGGATGAAACTTGATAAGTATCTTTAGTGATTTCTTGGTAGTGATTTAGATGAGCTTTCAGATTTTTAAAGATTGTTTTATCTGATTTCCAGGAGAAGGAAAATTATGAGAATCAGGTGTATAAGACCTAGAAAAATGAAGAAACACAATATGGGTTGTATCTGATTAAGATCCTGCTATTAAATCTTTCACAAATATTCAGAATGAAATATCTTACAGTATTCAGAAGCTTGTATGAAAAAAGGCACCTTGCCTAGCTCACATGAAGCAGATATTGTACGTACCAGCATGTTTACATCTGATAGTTTTAGCATGCAAATGGAAGATTGTTACATGAGAGAACTACAATTTGTTCTTGCTAGGCTGTTAGTTATATATATGTACAAGTTAAAAATGAAGGTAGCAGCATTTAGAAATGCTAAAATTTGCTAAGACCATTTCAGATCATTTTGTGGGACAGGTGATTACACTGACACCTACAGGTGTGTTTCCCTTGAAATGTCCTTGTTATTAAGAAATATGATGGGTTGGAGATTCTGAGGGCGGGGAAAGCATTTCTGTGAAATACATCCAAGCTCTAGAAATTTAGAATTTTTTTAATTGATTGATTTATTATTATCGATATTTCGAAGTTAGCTAAAATAGTCCTCTGGTGAGCTATTTAATATGTGTATACGGCTATGAAAAGATGGACTTTTCACACGCTCTGAATTACTGGTTATTGATTTTAGAGGTCTCCTAATGATTTAGTTTAGATTAAAGGGGGCTGGCAAAGGGGGCGCACTAGACACTATATTCCTTAAAGGTAAAAAAAATCAAATGTGTTCTATATTAAGCAGCGTTTTGTGCTGATAAAACTTGCAACATTACTCCCCTTGACTTTTTTTTTTAATGAAAATAGTTTTATGTGGTATTTATTTACTGTTTGGATAGAGAATATAAAGCGACATGCTTAATTTACTTGATACATGTATTTTTAATGAAAGGACTGTAATAAGTATGAACTTACATGTAAATTGGAAGATTTTTATAAATTTGTAGGTTTATAAGTATAACTGCAACAGTTGTGGCTCTTCCCTAGCTTTTGTGTGATAATGAACAATTTGTTTGTGAAATCAGTTGACCACATGATATTTTCTAAGTCTGAATAATTCAAATTTTATATTCAATATCATCTATTGAAATGAAAGATTAGAATATTATTTTTAGACCATGTTTCCAGCTTAAACCTACATATTTTCATATTTTGAATCTGTACATTTTTAGAACCATTCAAATGCCTAAGGAAACCGGACACCACAGCTGCCATGATCAGAATGTAACGTGTGGTGATCACAAAAGAATTGTGAACATCTCCATAACAAATGATCTCTATAGCAAATGACCCCCGGCCTCCTGCTGATAAAGGCAGCAACATGTAGGTATGCTATCTTAATGGTGATATTTATTTGAATTTTTCAGAATATTTTAAATTGCTGCATTCCGCAGATAGAAGATCTCCTTACCAGCCTCAGTGATTCTGGTGATGGGCCAAATGGCACCTTGAGGAAATATTTCTTTACATCCAGGAGTGGCACATTGAGTGAAGAAACTGAAGCAACTGACAATACAAGAAATCTTTTTTCCAAGAATTTCTAGGAAAGGCAACATAATGTTAGGCTATACATACACCAAATATATCAGGTATGTGGGCAGTATTCAGTTAAAACCTACTTTAATTTCTTTCATAGTCTTTCACTTTATTATCTAATTTATCAAAAAAAAAAAAGACAAAAAATGGATCGAGGTACCTTAATTTTGTTACTGAGTGCTTGGTTAGATGTAGAGCAAAGGAAAAACACCTATACCAGATTAACGGTTTGTTACTTTGAAACATTTTTAACACTCAAGATAATTTTGACACTTATGTTGATAATTTACTTTACATCTTAGAAAATTTAAGTATAGTTTAAGATTTCTCCTGCATATGGATATTCTATTTGATGGTTCATAGGAAAGATGGTTAATGATTTTGCAAAGTTGTTATATGTCATATTTTTTCGTCCGGTATATTAAATATTCCTCTTTTTTCATATTGTCATTTTTAAAAGCAGAACTATGTTGAATTTCAATTGGCCATAGTATAGGGGGTGTATTATAATACTGGCACTTATGCTTTTGTTATCATTATCATTGGAGAGGGGGGTTGTAATCATATATTTTATCAAATTCTTTTTTCATTATATCTTTTCTAAGATGATATAAGCATGGCTTAATTCACTATAGTAAAATAACATGTCGCTATAAAATGATTGATGATATAAATATACAGAAAATGATAATGCCTTTTTTTCTCATTTTGTGAATCAGTGTGCTGAAGACAAATTTATGAAGAAAAACTTGATATATAATATTGAATCTTTTGTTAACATAGGCACGCATAGGCACATGTATGTGTATGTATGTGTGTCAGGGATTTGCACGTAGAGGGTTTTATATTTTTACCATAAGCGGCAGATGTATTTCCCTGAAAAGTGCAATAAAATACTAATGACAAAGATGCATTCAAAGTAATGTGGTATAAATGTACAACTTAATAGCAGTCTGCAAAATAGAAAGGAATTTGCAATTCATGAACCAAGGAACAACACGCTTATTAAACTAGCTACAAAGGATCTATTGCCTAAGTCCCAGCATGTGGATGTTACTCCTGTTGTTTGAAGTTCTGCTTCTGTAACTCACTAAAAATCAGATTGTGATGTTGCACATACATTTTGTTATTGAATCAGAGTTTATTACAACGCCTACCATTTGCAATTTTTTTTCTTTTTTGAATCAGTTATTTTGATCTTCTTTGTTACATTAAAATGCAACCTAAGGAGACAATCAATAATCACTGACATTTTGGTAATTTTTTCATGATTTTTATAAATCACAGGAAATATAGGCATCAGTAGTAAATCAATCATCATAGCCATTTGAGTTCCTCTTTGAACTTAAAATATAATATGTATGAAGTTCATATTGCCATTGTATATTTTGATAAAAGCTACTTGCAGCTAAAAACAAGCTGAATAAACATTTTGCAGCACTATTTCAAAAATAGTTCAATGGAGGTAAATGATAAAAAAGTGCATAAAGTATGCGTCAGTTAAAACCATCCGAACATTTTGCCAAGGTTGCGTTTAAGGCTGAATAAAAACCTAGTGTCATATCTAAGACCTAATTACAGTTCACTCAGCTGTTCATTGCCACTTGCGGAAAACGAAATGAATGTTCATGGAAATATTTCACTGTTACTGGTAAATCGCAGGAAATGATGGAGACAGTAGGTACATTACGATGTGTGTGGTGCGTTTTGACATTATTCCTCACTAAAGCCATCTGCTTTTATTTGTCGCACTTTTTTTAGATCATTCTTACATTTGCCATAACAATAAAATTATTAGTATTTATTTTTTTATTAATTTACCCACACAAAATGGAATTGAGGAATTCATTCATTCATTTTTTATTTTGTTCAAATTTAATGAGTTATAACCAAAAACGTATACCAAAAGACGTGATAGTTTCATTGATCAGAACCATTCTGTTATATCATATGTGTATTTTGATTGTTTGTTTGTTTCTTTATTGTTTCCTGTCTTTCTCTTTTTCTGTACGTTATGATGCAGACTAGCCATAACAAGACAAAAGAATTATATTGTCTTGTATCTTCAGAACACTGTCAGCTAACGTTCTAGTCTTGTGTGTGTATAGTCAGTCACAGATTTCCTTTACTGTGGTGAGCAAATTGAATATACATGTATTGCTGAAACATTAGAGCAGGATTTTAAGCGTGACAGGATAGCATGATGGATTGATTGATTACAGTTGCTGTGCAGTTATTGGGACATCAGCAGGATAAGCCAACAGTTAGACAAGGAACATGTTAGACTGGGTTCCCATACCTAGATCGATCTTAAGGACCATTCAGATTGAGAAAAGTTGAGTGCTAGCTAGGCCATGACCTAAATATGGTGGACCTACACGAAAGAAAGACCGCTTAATCCTGTAATGGTCTCCGCCTCTCACACACCTCCCCACATGTCGAATCTTGATTGGTTGAATTGAGCCGAGATTTAATTACTGTGCACCTGCAGGGACGACGCGTGGGGAGGCATGTGAGAGGCAGAGAGACCATTACAGGATTAAGTGGTCTTCCTTTCATGTAGGTCCACCATATTAAGGTTGTGGCCTAGTTAGCACTCGGCTCTTCTTGATCTGAATGGGGCCTAACAGGATTGATCCATCTCAGAGGGGTTTCTCGCTAGATTGTTTTCAGCTAAAAGCAGCTTAGGTGTTTGTCACACCTCCTGAAGCTGCTAAACGATAATTAATTACCCCCTTACAGCTTCAGTAGGCATGACAGATATCTAGGCTGCTTAAGTTAATTGATTGCAATCAAGCGAGAAGCCCCTCGGAGATAGATTGGTCCACAGTTAGTATGATAGGGTCTGGGAATGGTCCCTTAGACTTCATGAAAATCAACCTAGCCAAATGCATCAGCTGGGTGCCATGAAGGATGTCTGTTAGGCCAGCTAAACACTTTTTACTGAATCAGTGAATTATTCAAAAAATGATAGATCTAAATGAGCTCTGTTGTACTTTTTATAATTAGGCTATGCAAATTCTCTAAGCAATTTGACAGATTTTTGTATGCAAGAGAGATTCGATGGCCAAATGCTTGGAAACAATAGGGAATGGAATACAGAATTTGAGAAAGACCCTTTTTAGTCATGATTGCCATTTTAAATTGTCCTAGTCTGAACGCAGCTTTAGGTGTGAAAATAGAAACATCAGTGTAGGGCTAATGTCTGAGAATTGCTCAGGAAACCACTAATGGTATTATCTGGTATGGATTTTAATGTTAAAGATGTATAAGAATAACATCTCGCTGCATTGGGTTTAAAACAATCTTGTCTATCAATTGATTATTCCATTTAAAACTGGTTTTATGTAGCTATGCAGATGAATGTGAAGTAATACCTGCCATATACTAATTGTGATCCAAATTTTTCATTCTTTTTAAAGGTTTAGCTCTCAATGAAAAGTTTTGAGTAATCTGTTTTTATGTTATCAATTTATTAATCTATTTATTTATTGTGGAACAGACAACTTTTCATCAATCAGTGGGGCATTTTTTTCTGGCATGGATTTCACAACTCATTTTGTAAGTTATTAAGTACACATTGGTTTTAGGGTGATGATCTGAACAACATATTCTGTTGACAAGTATCCCTTTAGAACCTTGTCTTGATTTACCAGGAAAATGTTTCAAATGATCTGAATGGTAGCACACATTCTTATTTTTAATAGGTTTTATTGGAAAGATTGCAGGGGTGATGTCAGTGCTGATTACACTAAAAGGGGTGACTTTATTGGTGGTTACATTTGCTCTCCTTAAGTCTCCATTCTCTCTGCAACAGAAAGGTTTTAAAATTATAATGTCAGGAATACATTATATGAAGTGAACTGCTGCACAGCCTCACAACGGTTAAAACATTGTAAACACCAATTGGGCTCAATTTTCATTTCACATACAGAAAAAGAATCTGTGCTTCCTGTCATGCAAGGCCCATTGTTGGCCAAGCTTAAATTACAGTAAAAGAAATTATTGATTGCATTACACCAGACAAATAATATGTAGTAAAAGAAAGAAATGGTTTTGCATGACTGCTGTGTGTAGAATGCTGAAATTGTGATGTAGACGAAGCATGATATTTGAGGCGGGGTATACTAGGGTACACTTACATTAAAAAAAAAAAAAACGTACTAAACCCAGTAATTTTAAACTGAAAATGGCTCAATTTCTTTCACAGGGAGTTTTTTTCAGATACAATATAGCATTTCTTGGAAAGGGGTATGTTAACCATCCTAAGGCAGGGCAGTATCAAATAATGAATCTAATTTTGGGTGTTTACCATTTATGAATAATTGCGTATTAGTGATGTTAATTCCCAGGTATTTACAGGTCTGTAAGGAAGTATTTATCCTAAATCATATACTGTACATTAGAAAGATTAGCATGCAGGCAGGTGAACGCATATGGAATTGATATCTTTAACTTGCGATGACGTTTGAACTTCTATTTTTGTAAATGTGAGGACTATTTCTCAGTTCCCATTTGAATGCAATAAATGGCATCAATTAACCTTATCACAGTTAATACATTATTATTTTTATTATTATTAATGCTATGCTGTTGCTGTTTACTGAAGTAATGAATGAGGAGTAAATGAATGCAGTTGACTTAGTTTATAACTATATTTATATTAGACTAAGTATGCTGGTCAAGTTGGAAGTTAGTAATATTATGGCTTGCTATATGTATGTCTGTCCAAATTTTCTGTCTATACCTGTTTGTCCACCCACCTGTCTGTCTGTCTGCCTATCTGTATGTCTGCCCATTTGCTTAATTGTCTGTCTCTATGGAAAGTCAGCTGTCTGCTTCACAGTCTGCATGCATAAGTGTACCGAGTTTCTGTTTTTATTGGGGGGGGGGGGGGCTGTTTTTATTGGGGGGGAGGAAGACACATGCACATATACTGTGTGTTTATACGTGTTCGGATGTTTGCTGTACAACTGCATGAACAAGTACGATAAGATTAGTAGATCATCAACATTTTTCTAAACTTTCTTTCAAAAAAAAAAAAAGCATTGCCATGCTGCCCATTCATCATGGCTGCTGTCTTTTTACATTGCCTACAGACTATTCTTACTGTATGAAGCCAGACCAGACCAATAAATGGCGAGTTGTTATTTACTTTTCTTGCCATGGAAAGCAATCCCAGAAATAATAGATTCCCACAGTTTCTTTTATTAGATTTTGCCTTCCAGCAGATTGCCCATTAAGTTACAATGCATGAGCTCCTCACACACAAAGTGTTATCTGGATCAGTCTTGAACTGGGCATGTGTTGAATGGAACTGCTTCAAATGGTCTCAGTTTGTAGTTTTTCAGTACTTATTGTAGTTCAATCTAATGAAATGTTGTCCCTGTTTTATGGTAGAAAATATGCAGCTTATGTTTCAGACAGACACTGATTTTAATAACGAAGACATTATACAACATGTATCTACTGTATATTTGTATTTATCTTAATTGAACTGATGTAAAGTTTAGGCCCATTTTCAGAATTAAATATGACTTATTATCGTCAACTCCAGAGTCAAAACCTTACAGTTAGGAACACTGACCAAATTTGAATATGATTATGAGAGGCATTTTTTGTCTTAGATGGTCTTGAATCAGTCTAAAAAGCTCACACAGTATGTATACAGGGATGGTGACCACATGACTGACTATGAGTTTACATATAGTACAACATGTATCTACTGTATATTTGTATTTATCTTAATTGAACTGATGTAAAGTTTAGGCCCATTTTCAGAATTAAATATGACTTATTGCCGTCAACTCCAGAGTCAAAACCTTACAGTTAGGAACACTGACCAAATTTGAATATGATTATGAGAGGCATTTTTTTGTCTTAGATGGTCTTGAATCAGTCTAAAAAGCTCACACAGTATGTATACAGGGATGGTGACCACATGACTGACTATGAGTTTACATATAGTACTCTGGTAATGGAAGCAACATATCAGGCTTGCTACAAACTCTCTCACTGCTGCAAATTTGCAAGAACATGAGTATATATACTTTCTTGCAAACTTACTTCACACTTTTATGCCAATAAGGGGCAAATTTGCAAGAATATAAAGACCCTGCAAACCTGGCACAAACTTGAAATGTTCTTGCTGCAATGCAAATATTTCTTGCAAATTCCTTACTGCTAACTTTTCGTTTTGCCAAGGGTTTGACTGTGTTATAGTGTAATAGGGAATAGAGATCCAGATGGTACATGTACATGTAGTCAATGCCCTGCAACATGAAAAGTCAGTTAACACACTAAATTAATTTCTTTTAGAATAGTCATAAATATGTTTAACTCATGCATTTCTAGCAATCTACCAAGTCAACAATAAACATTACAGAAACATTAAAAGATCCATTTCGTATATGAAATAAAAAGTGAATAATACATCTTTAATATTAGTATTGAAAATTTAAGATGAATAATATCAGTAATTTGCCATCTCGAACACAGATACATATTCTGAGCGATTCAAAGTGAAGGGAAAATTCAGTTTGTGTGAATTTGGCCTACTTGCACATCTTAAACATGGGGATATTCATAAGCAAGTCTTTTAGCTCATTTACGTTGTATTATGGGTGGATTTCACCTACAGTAGGAGAGACCGGCAAATGTTACAAAAAATATGTGCACCGGGTAAATTGTGATTATATTTCTGACCATAAGGTCTGCCATTTTTTATGTACAGACACAGATGTGTCTGTACATATTGCCATNTTGTTTATTGTTAAGGCCAGACTATTTTTACGTCTGTGGCTATTATTAAATTTACTTCATATTACGGACTCCATATGTCCTTGAAGAATTTTTTTTTTGGAATCATTTCAAAAACGCAACATTTATCTGGAGACCAAAATAGAAAACAGTTTCCTGTCAAGTGATTAGAAAAAGATCAATCACTTCTCATGTTATTTAGACCTGATTCCCATGTGTAGACACCATCGGCCTACGGAGATCGATCCAACTCTGCGGGGACTCTCTCTTAGTGCAATCAGCTTAACTGAATGACTCGCCTCCTCTTGTTTCAGGTGTACTTGTATAAATACCAGCTTTTCTGTATTCTACTGAACACTAGGACTGGAGCTGTGTAAATCTGTTGAACTAATTGCATAATTGAGAATCCCCATGGCGTTGGATCGATGTACATAGACCAGTGGTATCAAAGGGAACGGGGCCTAAGATTATGATATTAACACTTTTCTTTCTGGCACGTTTTAATTGCAGGTTTTACTGATAAAATGTTTTTGTTGATCAAGAACAATTCTGAAAGGTACAAAATAAAAATTCTATCATTGGATGAGGATTTGGAATGGTAATGCTATATTTGTAAAAAGAGGGGTCTCTTTTGCAATCAAGGAAAAAAGGTTTAGAAAGCAATACAAGTGGCATTAGTATTCATGTAAGTCCTTTTTTCAACTTGTACAAACTTTTAATGTTAATCTACTTCAAATACATTTTAGGGGAGAGGACTTAAAAGATTTTATGGCACAAAATAATTACCAGTTCTCTCCAATAACATGTAGTGAATACGTAATAGAAATATAATCCAAAATCTTGATGTGGCCATCCAGGTGATAAAACTAGCACCTTCACCCTGAGAAACATAAGGAATGTCACCATCGAAGGAGATGGCACAACTCTACACCACTCTTTTGCTGATCGAGTCATGCTAAATCCCATTGCAGTGTTTATTTATTGCCAAACATAAAAGTAGCAATAGAGCTGTAATACTAGATATGTTACTGCTCCATGCAGTACAATGTACTTGCCAACTCTTGGGGGACATGTTTTTTTCAATTACATTTTCCAGCGCCATGGAAAACATTGAATAGGCAGCAAAATGCAATAACTTCTGGGCACATAACAGCAGTCTGATAGCTGTAATTGAAGGTTAGAATGTCACGTCTCTGGTGGGAATCATCACTCGTAACAGTTGATTGTTTCTCTTTATCTAAGTGCTGCTGGTTGTTTGCCCAAGTTGGAGATATTTTATGTAATCTTATATATCTTACATCTCATACAGCTGAGATCTGTCATAATTCAAATCTCTGTGTATACATATAATGAACTGAAAATGTAGAAGCTGGCAGGTGTCAGGTTTGAAGCTTTATATTAGCCATTTGTACACACACAGAAATGATCATATTTCTCTCCAATCATATATAGCTGTTTCTGTTTTACTACTGGTAGTACAATGTATCTCAAAATCAGTCATCTGAACTTTTTTCCAGTAAAATCCCAATAGAACCCATTTTGGGAGACTTAATAGTTTGATGTCAGATTTTGAATGATTAACAAATTAAAGAAACTCATCAAGTGTAAGGTGCTATACAAAGTAAAGGGCTAACATGCAAATGTGTGTGTGGATGCATGGGCATGGGCAATGTACCAGAATGATTAAATCCATTCACTGATTTAATACTGAATATTTAAAAATTTATTTTCCAATTAAGGCATTACATTGTAATATTTAAGTTCATATGCCTATGTACTAACATGATGGACTCAAGCTAACTACCATCTCTGTAAGTTTTTGCTTGAAGAATTTCAATTAAAGAACATATACATATTTAACACTGATCATGATGCAAAACAGTAAACCTTTATAAAGTAATTGATCAGATACTTGTACATATAATTTGATTTAAAATTCTTTGGGGTATTACCAATATATACCTGTAAATAAGTTCCTGTACTAACCTCTGATCCCAGAAACTATTTGCCGAGAAAATTTGGATGAAACATGTAAAAAGCCAATTAAATGCAGATCATAGTTTGTCTATTTACCTAATGAATGACCAAATGGATGTATTGATATTGATTAACTAAGCTAGATGATTTCAGCGGGGATTTGTAATGCTAAAGATGACAGAATTAATTTGACTGGGGAGAGATTTCACAGATTTGTTGTGATCAATCGGATCCAAGATCAAGTTTAGCCAGCTAGTACTATACAAGTAACCATATGTTCACACTGTAGCTTCACTTAATGCCAGTAAAACTGAATATGGACCAGTGAAGTTTTATAAACCATGCAGTTTCTAGCTGGTCACTCTCTTCTCCTGAGTTTGTAGATTTTAAGACCTTGGATCTCCTGAAGGGCCAGTAGCCTAAAAGTTTTTGACACAGACTGTATCCTTGGTACAATGTACCTGATAGGTAATTACAAATGAAAGTGTTGTATTTTCTTGTGTTGTTATTTACTTAAATAAGAATTTTAAAAAAAATGTACTATTGGATTGAAACTAGAGAGATTGAATTAAATATGTTCATTTTTTTATGTTGGGCTCTCGTTTGCAGCACAGTTTTGGGGAAATTGCCAAGATCATTTTATATAATATATGATAATAAGTATATATCTTCAGGCTACTTCGATGATGTCCAGAAATTATTATTCTGTATTTCATCACTTTATAGCCAATGAGGCTTAGTATTGATCAGACATTTGATTTTTTCTAATAGTGTCAGGGTTTCCAGTTTATACCAATATGCCACCAATTGTGAAAATGTTATCTTTCATTTTAATTTTTTTCAGGTTATGTTATTTTGATGGGCTGCAGAACTAGCCAGTTATATAGATAAAACAGAGAGTGAACTAAGGCAAGGCAGTTGGATGCATGCAGATGGAAGCACGTGGCTTGGGTATAGTACTACGTTAACTTAACTGATCTAGGAAACAGAGTTTCAAAATCACAGAAAAATAGTTTTATACTTCGATGCATAGAGGGTTTTAATGATGTAAAATTTAAAAGACATAAAAAAACTTTGGAATAGCATGTGGTAAAAACAGTGAATTATTATAATTACCCCCTGCATGTACATGTATTAGACTGTTTAGCACTTTTACTTGAAACAAGAAGAGTATTGTGTTTGAAACTGTTATTTCAAGGATTCACTTTGGAAACCGATTAATAGAGGCAATATGTGATAATTAGGCTTTGAAAATCTAATTTGACAATTGGGAATACCTGCACTGTGCTTATATTGACTAATTTGTTCACTGAATTTTTCAAGAAAATAATTATCACATAATGATCTTACTTACTGATGGTGGTCCTTTTTCTTCTTACAGGCCTCACTGGAGGGATCTATAAAGGCTGCTGCAAAACAAGTTATTAAATCACTTCAGGATGGCAGTGCCCAGTTACATGATAGCTGTCTATGTGCTCATTCCACTTGTAGTCATCCTGCTCTTGATCTTAGTTTTATATTTGCTCTGCTCAAAACGTTATAAACTGAACTGGTTTGAGCGCAGTATATTGGAAGAGGATGGATCAAGTAAGGAAATTTTATGCCAGAAAGAGAATGATTTTGGAACTATCCAAAAAACTTCATCATTTTCATCTGCCTCTGCATCGTCATCGACCAGACGGCCAAGTGCGCTGCTCCCACCTATCTCCCCCTTGCCAACTGAAACGGATGAAGACTTCTACATTCCAAATCCTGACCGAATCCGTGCATACAGTTTTGCAGCTCCTCCTCGTAGTCTAAGAAAAACTGAGGAAGGTAATTTTTGCATTTTTTTTCTGGCACTTATAGTTGTGCAGCTGATTACCATGCTGACGATTAAATTTCTTATTTAACCAGTTGTTGTAATTACTTGTGCAACTAAGGATGTTTTTGCCTTTGTTGTTATGTTATTGTTAGAAAGCTGAACTCAAAAAGTTACGAATTTCGATAAAATATCAGGATAGATCAGAAATGGGCTAGCTTAGAATCAGCTAGATCTTGGTGGATACATGCATATCTTAATACATTTGTAGGTACATGTTAGAAGAAATGATATTAATATACTACACAGACAACCAGAGAATTTGGTTCATAAAGTTCTTAAGTGAGGGAAGTTCTGAAGATGGACCACACCTCTTTGAACCTGTTGTCTTACCTATAATTATCTTACCATATACACAAGACAGTTAATTCCTACTTCAGGTTCCCCCTTACCATCCCCAGACAGGAAGGCTTCTGCTGTTTCGATTGGTGGAACAGGCCTGCAGGAGATCACATTCAATTTCCAAACGGAGGACATCATGCGCTCTGTGTCCACTGTTCAGGTGCCGAGTCAGAGGCAAGGCAGACGGGCCTCGATGCAAGACAGGATAGATCTTTCAAAACTGGATCGTTCTCTGTATGATAAAAGGGTAGGTTATGATATATTTGTCACGATACCTCAACCATATAAATTTCGAATGGTTGTCCATTTGCATTGGGGAAGGTTGGGGGTATTGCAATCAAATTATTGGCTTTCATACAGGTTTCAGTTGAGTCTTTGCTAGTAGTTAATTAGTTAAAAAGCATGAGAACAGTATAGACTAGAAACATTACACTGTACTTGTTGAAATAAACTTTCTAAAAATGCAATTTTAACAAATTTGAACTCGTAAAAAAGTATTTAAGTAATTCTTCATTATGGCAAACTTTTGCGTTAGTTATGTCATAAATTCATCTCTTTAATTAGCAAAATTTACGAAAAATGCAGTCCACTGCCAGTGAAGACAGCCTTGGCTCCATAAATTTCTCCCTAGACTATAACAGGGACATGGGTCTTCTATGCATCCGTCTCATTCAAGCAATAGATCTTCAGTCACGCACCGCTAGCAATGGTGTCAACCCATACTGTAAGATGCATATTCTTCCCAAGAAACAGCATCAGGTGAAAACAAAGACACACGAGAAGACCACACACCCAGAATTTGAAGAGGAGTTTGTTTTTGAGGTCCCCGAAGATGAGAAGGATTCTGCAACCTTAGAGATTCTTGTGTATGATTATGATGTGTATTCACAAGATGAGTGTATTGGCTGTGTTCATTTTCCACTCAGAGATTTGGATTTGAAGATGACGGAGAAAGTTGTCCTGTGGAAGGGGATTGTACCCTGTGAGAAGAAGGAGAAAGGGGTAAGTTAAGAACTTTTAAAGATGATACTTGCTTAATATTCCCTTTTTCTCTTTTTAAGAAAACGTTAAAAGGTTAAATTAGTTTGAATGAGTGGGGTTATTAGAAAGTGTCTCATTCTATGCCTGCAAACACAAAAACGGACATTTGCATGCTAGCACCCTCACCATGCATTTTAGTTATTATTAAGAGTTTATTATGGATCTATGGCAGAATATATCTATTAATAATAAACACCATTATCTTAAAGATTTGAAATATTATTCATGAACATTCATTCTGCTTGATTGATGTACATGTAGCACGTACATAATACATGTATTATATACCTGCATATGTACTGTATATTGCTGTATTTTGTGTCAGTCTTATATACTGTAGTACAGTACTGTGAGCTAATGGTACCAGCCACCCCTAGTTTCAGATGCTTCTGGAAACTCACTACCATTATAAACATGGCTCTGCCATTTTCAGTATTGTGCTGTAGGAACCAGTGGCCTCTGAATCTCAGGGTGGATGAGACTTGAGGTACCTCAGAGAAGCTATATATAATTACGTATAAGGTGATTGTTTAAATATGGCCTCCAAATTTCAGGACACCGCACACGGAGACCTGATGTTTTCTCTTACCTATCTTTCAACTGCTGAAAGACTCACGGTGGACATACTCAAAGCAAGGAATTTGACAGAGAAGGATGATGGGAAGGCTCAGATAGGTAAAGCATTATGGGATTGCTTGAGAGATCATACCAACTCTTTCCATATCGTTAGTTCAACAAAAATAATATAAAAATTACAGAAAAAGGGGTGGAAAAGTGATTCCTTAATGCTTTGGTTTCAACCTACACAGCCATATTTAACTTAGATCAAAATATATGTATCATGTATATTTCTCTTTTTCAGCTCCATTTGTTAAAGTATTCTTTATTCAAGGAGGGAGGAAAGTAAAGAAAAAGCGCACCAGGGTGATTCATGGTGCTTCCAATCCAGTGTGGAATGAAGCTTTGGTATTCCATCAAATAAGTAATGCGCAGCTTAAGACCTCGTCAGTCGAACTCGAAGTGTTTGACAGTAAAATGCCAAATAGTGAACTTATAGGACGTGTACGCGTAGGGGCAGACTCTCAAGGGGAAGAATATGAACATTGGTTGAATATGTTACAGTTAAAACAGGCTTGTACTATAGCTCGGTGGCACCCCCTAACTCTATAAGGGAAAGTTTGTTTGTTTGCTTGTTTGATTGGTTTATATTTAGGGTCATGTCTGAAGTCGACTTAGGTGTTGTGCACAGTATTTGCTGAAACTTGGTCAAAGCTGGTTTGAGTATTAAGCAAACCTGGTGTGCACCCACTGAGACTGACAGGATAAAAGGCATACTTACATAGTCTAGATATTGTGAGCGCATTTTGAATGCTTGAGCTGTGAAAGCAAGAGTTGGAGAGCACAAATAAAATGCCATGTTTAAGTGGAATTCTAAAAGAATGTGATTAATTTAATGTTTTTAATAAAAGGAAACCCTGCCTGAAACAGCCTCCATCAGTCCTTGGCGGTCCAATATTTCTACAAAACAGATCAACATTCCACTCTGAAAGACCCTGTGGGCTTATGTTGAGGGCTTTTTTGTTTCCGCTGATGCATAGCTGTATGACACGTAAGTGTAACGCACCAGCACATCTAATTCAGTTATTGGTTTTATTGCTGATTTAAAGGACGAGGCACACAGGTTTAACCAATTTTATTCCTGATTAAGATAAATGATTGGTTATCCTTGATTGAATTTTATTTGAAGTTACTGGCAATGTATTTCTTTTTTTATTGATGATATTTTGTGGAATAGCTACATGTAACAGACATGAATGGCAGGAGTTTTGTTATTTTGCAACTGAAGCACCATTGTGTGTGCCCATCCCAGCAGGCAAAGTTGCGTTGGATCAACGTTGAAAACAGGTTGATACGTTGAATTGCCATTGATCTACCTAAATTCAACGTCAAATCAATGTTGATCCAGCCACGTCAAAACATTGTCATAATGTGACGTTGACTCAACGTTGTATTTTGGTTAATGACACAACCTTGCAGTTATGGATTGTAATTTAAAGTATTAATTATTGAAAATGTGATACTTTGTTTATCAATACTGTAACTAAATTTATCAAAATAATAACAAAATGGTTTTAAAGTAAAATTGACAGTTGTTTTGTGTCTTTAGTGAACTAGTGAATTTTCTTAACTTGTTATTCAGAAATACATTCCAATAAACTGAATTGCTTGCAAGGTCAGCTAACACTAGGATGAATAAGTTGCTGTAAATGTGATGGAGTTAACAGTTCTTGGTAACCTGTTATAGATAGACAGGTTTAGGTGACTGTGACTTTGTTATATATATATATATATATATATATATATATATATAAATCTAAATCTTGGAAATTCTAACTTAAAGGCCATACATTTATACCCTACATATATTTAGCCATCAAACATGTCCTACTGCTAAACACATCCAGGCTAATGTCCCACTGGGTAGGGTTGATATAACATTGTTTTCTGACGTTGATACAACGTTGTTATCTGAGGTTGACACAACTTTCAAATCCAACGCTTATTCAATGTCTACTCAACGTTATGGTTCAACGTTGTTTCAACATTAAAACAACATAATTTGCCCTCTGGGATGTTTGTGTGCATGTGTGTGTGGGGAGGGGGAGGGGGGAGAATGGTTAAACCGTTCAATAGACTGCTCATGTTGAGGTTCCAGCATGAAACAAAATGTCTACTTTTCCTGACATCATTGCATGGTCAACCTAAAAATGCACACTGAGTATATCTCACAGCAATTAATTCTGACTTGAGTGAGTTACATGCACTCCTTACTTTTTTCACAATTTATGTTAAGATTTAATTATTTATTAACTATTAATATCTGTTTGAGATATTAAATACAGGCTTCTTAAAACAAAACAAACAAAAAAAAAAAAAAAATAGGAAGTTTTGAAATATTGAAAACCCCACCACTTTATATTTAATATCAGTAAAGAATACTGTAATCACCTTTACTACAACAGTAATATTTCCATAAGTATTATATTTTTAGAAGCATTTTTATCAGACCTTCCTTGTCTTTTCTCTATTAAAATGTGTATGATAAGAGTGATTTACATAAGGAGAGATATGTGAGTTATTTGTAACCATAAGATTTTGATTTATTTTGAATTGTTAAAGTATTATAGCAGAGTATTAGCTGCTTGAGATTGTATTTGTTGAATTTCTGTGCCCAGAAAGAGGGATTTTTCTCACTTTTTTCAGGCAGTTAAGCTTATAAGGCATCTCTTAGGGGAAGTAGACTTGTTATTTTTATATTGGTTAATGTTTAAAACATCGTTGAAGCAAAATGATCACATTTAACTGTTGTCATTTTTCGGGTCTTGACATGAAATTTGTTTTAGTTTCCAGCTTCTTGTAGCATATCAGTGGATAAAAAAAAAAAAAAAAAAAAAAAACAGAAAAAATCAGATGCCTCAGT